AACTTGTGGATTGATCAATTAAAAAAAAAGACCGAGAACAGGCAAATAAACTCGTGTGCCCGTGGTCCTACTCGCACCATCCCCAGGTACACCGATTCCTCAGAAGAACTTCTTCACGATCACGGAAGAAACGTTCTTCAAGAAAAACCACTGTCCACTGGGAGAAAATGTGCTCTCCTTAGATACTATCACTGCACTGTGTAGCCCACAAAGAGCCTTCTAAGTAACACATGTGGATGGTAGGAGATTCCATCTTCCCTAGGGAGCCACTGTTCCAAGACAATGCCCACTTTACGAATTGAACAGATTTTGCCATTTTCTCATGAACATTCATTAGGTTACATGCAAAAATGGCTTTTTCTACCTCACTTCAAAGAACACATTGAAATCTACAATGACCTAAGAGAGTAACACTATACACCTCATCTCAGCCCAGCATCGAAAGTGCATTAAGAGCCATATTCACACAGGGGAAGGGATTATTTAAGCACAAACTGAAAGAAAGAAGAGCACGGACATATGATGAAAGTTACCGACTCCACAGGGACTGAAGAATGGGAAGCTAGCTAGTTTTCCTAAGTTCTGAGATCTGTGAAAACACAGGTTATCTATCTGCCAAAATGATTCCTCTCGAAGAACAATCAAAACAGTGGACTAAACAACTTGCAAGTTACTATATAAATGTGCCCTGGCAATCAGTCACATCTCATGTCTGTCACTTGAGGAACCAAAGCATTTAACTTAATGTTGTGCAGGAGCAGAGAGCTGTTTCCAGAGATGTCGCGTGGCACAGATGAGCAGCCATAACCAATACAATTACAATTCTGTTTGTTGTTAGACTATCACCATGTGTGTAATCAAAACATTTCCAAGAAACATCAGATGTAGTCAAGCAAACACTGAGAGGGGAAGCTAGTCAACTGCCCCTTAGATAGAAATTTCTTCTTTTTTTTAACCTCTTACACCTCATGATCTTTTGCTTTATGAAGCTGAAAGGTGCTGCCTTCTCACTCCCAGCATCTCTTATACCTGTAACGGCTTCTGAAATACTCAAGAGAGCAGACACTGAAAACCTGAAGCAGGTACAGGCAACACTGAGCCAAAACCCAAACACAACTCAAAACGTTCACCCAAATGCCAACACACCTCCATCTCACCTGGGATGAACACAGAAACACTGAGCGACTCAACACCTACACATCTGATTCACCTTAGATACTCACCCATTCCCTTCTGGTTAGCATCAGGAGACTTGCAATTTCTTCTCCAAATGCAGAAATTTTTCAGAAATGCAAGAGAAATTTGTTTATGCTGAGAAGCCTGATCCATGCTGTGTGTGTGATGCCACAGTGAGGTGTACCCTGAAGACTAATGGCTCGCCTCCATCACTGTATTTTTCCCCAATTCAGCTTCATTGGGTTTTTGACTTTTTCTTTTAAATTGGAACTTTCAATGTTAAAATGTGGTTTGCTAAAGAATACAATGAACGTTTTTCAGAATTTGGAACTTCAGTATGCCTTTCTCTTTTTTTGGAATCTAAGTACATGTCTATTTGCCCAATTACTGAAAAGGTGGATAGTAATCAACCTGTCTTTGCGAATGGAATGGATTGCTCGAGAAGATCCTTGAAAATATGTAAAGTCAAAACTTGTTACAAGTATAGGCTTTGGAGCCATCTAGACGTCATCTAGAAAATAATGAGACTTTAAAATAAAGAAACTCATAAAATTATACGGATTGAAGAAAATAATGTATGCAAAGCCTTTAGCACAGTGCTTAGAATATAAGTTCTCAAAAAAGGTAGACAAACTGTAAATTCTATTTCAACGTTCTGAAATGCAGTCTCGATGGTTAGCTCCCACTATAACTTCCATTTCAGAAAATAACATATTCTTGGGCTTTAAGTTTTAGAATTCTCGTTGCTCTAAATCTGCTCTTACTCTGTCTGTGCTACTTTCCCGCTGTATCTCGCCCGCGTCCCCTCTGGCTACAGACCATCGTTGTCCCTCCATCCTACACCCCTGCCGACACCCTTTGCCTCCTTTCAGTGGACTCTCGAGTCTGGAACTGCCATGCTCCTGTCAGTCTACCAACTTCTCAAGCTCAGTCCCTGCTAGAGGGCCTTCCAGTGCACTTGTTTCTACACCTACACGCATTTTCTCTCTTTAGGAAGACGACAAACTTCTTGAGGGCAGAGAACACATTAGTGTTTCTTCCCTTAGGCTCAGGAACTTTTTAGGCCCCAAAACTTTTTAATGTTATATCATCATAGTAACTGAGGTTATGTCACACTTCCACCAACTCATGGGTAAACCATCCCAAGTTTCTATAAAAAGAATTTTACTATTTATAAAATGGGCATAAGACGATTAACTAACTTGGGACAGATATATTCAGAATATACAATATGAATCCTTCATACTATGCAAGTATCTTAGAGTCTTGGCATATCATAAATGTAAAGGAAAAGAGATAAATGTGAATTTTTTTAAAATACATAATATCTAAATAAGAAAATATAATAGAAGCCTAGGAGTAATATTTCTTACCTTCTCTCCCCATTGTAATTACCAAAAAGGAGGCAGTCTCTGTAATAATTTTATTTTATTTACTTATTTTTTTTAAAGATTTTATATATTTATATTCCCCCCAAAGCCCCAGTAGATAGTTGTATGTCATAGCTGCACATCCTTCTAGCTGCTGTATGTGGGACGCGGCCTCAGCATGGCCGGAGAAGCGGCGCGTCTGTGTGCGCCCGGGATCTGAACCTGGGCCGCCAGCGGTGGAGCACGCGCACTTAACTGCTAAGCCACGGGGCCGGCCCTCTGTAATATTTTTAAATGCTACTTAATTTTTGATACACTACCTCCCTAATTCAAATTGCAATATTCTCTTTGTTCAACATTCAACATTGGCTCAATTAAAATGATGAATGTTTAATAACCTATATTTACATATGCAAACTTGAAATATTTAAAGCAACATAAAACCACTGATATCGAAGCAGCATAAACCCATTTAAAATAACAGGTTTCCAAGCAAGGACAAAAGAAAAAGTAAATTCTCTGAAGACTGAGGCCTCATCCTTTATTTATCATCCTATGTATAACTTTTTGTAAAATATGCCAAAAAGAGACATGAAATAGAAAGATGCTTTTAAAATTAACTGAATGCAGAGCAGTAAACATAATATAAGGACTATTACAAAGATTAAAATACTTTGGAGTTAAATGTGTACAAATAGAAACCTTTAATAAATGCTAAATATATTCATTATGAAAATCATGGATAATTAGTCCTCAGCAGAGACACTGCAAAAGTAACTTATATATAACACACAAATATGTGTCTGCTATGAGACACATTTATAGCTAAGAACACTTTTTAAAAACCACGTTCATATATTATTTGAATAAAATACCAAAGAAACAGAAATTCCTACTGACAAGATTTACTCTCTTCAATTTCTGGAAAACCCACTGGGAGGATTCCTGAGGGTTCTCCTGGGGGGTTGAGGCCCAGAGAGGGGCAACTTCAAGATGGTGAGACAGAGATTAAGGAAATGATCAAGGATGGCAGTTACACTGAGGAGACTAAAGCAGTGTGCATTCTTAGTCTGGAGAAGTAGATTTTAAAATCAAGAAACTTCCTAAAACAAAAGGAACATGAACAAACCACTTAAGGGAGTCTGAGGAAAAGCAGGTAGGGTCCACAAATATTCAGGATCATTCCACAGTGCCTTGTCAATATGCGTTTGAGAAGTAGCACTGAAAAGATGACATTTAGACCACAGAAAGCAGTTCCAACTACAGAATGGAGAGACGCACAGCACGGACATTTGTCACTACAGGAATCTGTGACGCATCCATTTAAGAGCTATGACATTTCCTCCAAATCAAAATCACAAAACTGGAGACTAGACAGCTCAGGACTCCAATACTAAGATCCTCAGAAATTATATCTTAGGCAAAAGAAAAGTTCTTGCTCAATTATTTTGACAGCACAGCCAGGAATAAGGTTTGCTCGCTTAAATCAGGAATGCAGCATACATCCTGCTGTTGCAGTAGAAATAACCTAATTTGCGTGTGTGCTGCTGAAAATACAAAGAAAAGCTGTAATGTGATGTCTAATCTCTGAGTTTACAATTGCCTCCCTTAGGCAGTAATGCTTAGGCAAGAAGACCCCTATTATGTCCAAATGTTCCATATCTCACTTAGATAAAAAAGAAGCTCTGATCAATTAATTTTTTAAATGTCAGGCAAAAGCATCCACTAAAAGAGTATTTTATTGCACAGAATTAAATATTACCAACCTAGCAATGATTTCAAGAACCAGATGTTACAAGAGGTCCCTGAGAGTACTTCCAAGCACTGAGCCCCCACCCCTAACGAATCTGAATTTGTAGGTCAAGATGAATGGGACCTCAACCACAATTAGCAAATATTTCAGTTGCTGTTCTACAGTTTAGAGAAGGCGGGCTTCTGTTTACCACTACAACTCCTTACTGATATTCTGCTTTCAGCTACCACAAAACGCTGAATGGGCAGTTTTTAAAATGAATCAGAATAACCTTGTGTTAATGTAAACCATCTTCCCTTTTCATTACGGTGAAATCACAAATAACAACAATCATAATAAACGTCCAGGAGATCTACTTCTCAGTGACGATCCTGAAAGGAGAGGATACTGCAGGAACACTGTTAAGAATTTTGGCACTGAAACTACTAGTAGATTCTTGACAGTCTGATAAACTGCTCTACTCTTCAAAAACATTATGGGGACGATTCCAGCTACAATACACATGAAAGGAAATTTTTAAAGGTTTGTCTCTAACGCACTATCGCCTTGCACATGCAGAGGTACCCTCACTCTTTCACTAAAGATAAATGCCTCAGCTTACTATTGTTCAAATCTTTAAAACAACATTCTGCATCATCACTGAGACAGCTTAAGACTGCATGCCGAAAGGACCACAGAGCACAGAGGCACAGATGTCTTACCTGGGAAACCCCCTTGGACCATTGCTGTGCCAGCGTTCCCTTCAGGGTATCTGCATCCCTGATCAACATTCAGTGCTGGATGCAGCTCAGATCCTCACCACAGACTCTGTCCTCTCTCTTCTGTTGACCTTGGGCCTATTCTTTTGCCCCTCAGATCTTATTCTCCTAAGGGCAAGTTGTCAGTCTATTTCTATCACGAGAAGCAATCAATTAAGCTGCTCCTCGAGCTAACAGTCACATCTGCCAGTAGGTGAAAGCTGCACGGAAAAGTATGCCGGGAGAAGCAAAGGCCTTGGTTCCCACATCTAACCCTCGGGTGCCTCTCGCTGCCGACGGAGGCACTCAGTCACCCTGCGTCAGGACGCCAGCTCTGCTCCAGCACGGGAGGAGGATAAACACAACCACTTATTTTGTGGTCAGCTTCAATTGATATCATTTTAATGACCCAGTTTTCCTGCTGAGAAAGAGTTCATCCCATCAGTTGCATTTTTCGGGTGCAGACTAAAAGGAAACAGCAGTTGATTCCAGCCTGTCCGGAGTGAGTGGACCAGCATCCACTTGGTCTCTCCTTACTGCTCTCAGCTCTGAATCATTTTTATAACAAAGGAGCTGACGAACCACACTGAACACGAGGTGTCCCCTAGTGGGATGCATTTGTGTCTCAGCAACATTCTAAACGTGCAGTAAAGATTCTATCAAAGCAGTCAAGCCTTCAAGTTAGCTTTTTGGGGGAAAAAAATGAAAAAAACCAGAAGCTTCAGAAAAATCACTAGAGAAATGGTTGAGGTTTCTTAAACTTCACTTAAAATGCTACATTGCAGCCCCACCCCCAGCACACCTGAATACAATCATATAACCAACTGCAATTACTTCAGAATTATCTTTCTATCAATTACTGCAGTATCTTCCGACCTTTCTTTGTAAAATGTAGAGTAAGAAGTCATCTATCTGATAATTGATCATATGGATGAGTAAAATAGCCTGAACATCATTTAAATGCTGCTCAAAAGATCTTAAACAGTACAATTTTTTATTTATAGTTACAGTAAATGCATCCAAATTATACCAAGAGCTGAAGCCTCAGAAGTTTTCAGAATAAAAAACCCACTAAAATAAAAAGCAATGTTCACCAGTCTCCAACTATGGGGCTAGAACAAGAATTCCACTTATTGGACTTAATTATAAAGATGAAGGGTCCAGAAAAGGACGATGAACAATAGGAAATGAGAAAAAGAATTTACATAAAACTAAAACATTAAATTTTAGCCTTTATTTCTTAATCTTCCCCCTCCTATTCTGCATTGTCAAAATTAAAAAACAGAAAAAGGAGAAAGCAAATAAATTCATATATTTAGTAAAAAAGAACATGGAAATGCCGCTAGAAGCCACTAATGAATGCTGTTGGCTTATTTGAGGTGAACATTCTGGCATTCTCTAAATCCTGGGTAATAACTACTGTTGACTGCAGTGACATCTATTGGCAAGGCAGAGATCAACTACAGAGCCCACAATGAAACAAAAAACAAACAAAATTTTAAACCAAAAAAACTACTAGTTGCTCACAAACCTTCCCTGATCATGAGTCTACTACAGGTTAAAAACTGGCCTGGCACACACAGGCAGGGAGGGCCTGAATGCGGCCCAGGACACTAACGAGACCCAGGTTCCAGTCCAGACCTCAACAATGACTAATTCTGTGACTTTGGGCAAACTAATCAATCGCTCTGGGTCTTAGGATTCTTGATTATAAAATTAGACCAGGTGAGCTTCAAGGGTCTCAAATCCCATCACTCTCAAGGACGACATTAAGATACTTTTATTCCCTTTTTTAAAGGAATTTGCTATTCCATCACCCTCCTCCTTTAACATAAACCTTCTCATAGTTAACGTTCTAACTATTCCTTACAAATGTGGTTCTTTATTTATTTATTTATTCCCCCCCCAAAGCCCCAGTAGATAGCTGTATGTCATAGCTGCACATCCTTCTAGTTGCTGTATGTGGGACGTGGCCTCAGCATGGCCTGAGAAGCAGTGCGTCGGTGCGCGCCCGGGATCCGAACCCGGGCCACCAGCAGTGGAGTGTGCGCATTTAACCGCTAGGCCATGGGGCCGGCCCCTGTGGTTCTTTAAAATGATATTTAGCTTTGAAATAATCTTAACAGCTTTATTTAGCATAATTTGCACAACATAAAATTCACCCGTTGCATGCACACAATTCAATGATTTTCAGTAAATTTATAGAGGTATGCAACCATCACTGCCATCAAGTTTTAGAACATTTCCAACACCCCCAAATATTCCATCAAGCCCAAATTCAATCCCAACTCCAGGCAACCACTGACCTGCTTTCTATCTCTATTAACTTGCTTTTTATGGACATTCTATATGAATGGAATCACAAGCATGTAGTCTTTTGCATCAGGCTTCCTTTTCTTAGCATAATGAGCATATATCAGTATTTTGCTCCTTTTCATTGGTGAATAGTATTCCACTCTATGGATATAGAACATTTTGTTTATCCATTTACCAGTTATGGACATTTGGCTTTTCCAGTTTTTGGCTATTATAAATAATGCTGCTATGAACATTCACGTAGGAGTCTTTGTGTGGACACGTTTCCATTTCCCTTGGGTATATACCTAGAAGTAGAACTGGTGGGCTGTATGGAAAATTTACATTTAATTTTTTGAGAAACTACTAAACTGTTTTCCAAAGTGGCTGTACCATTTTACATTCCCACCAGCAGTGTATGAAGGTTCTGACTGTATGCCTGTCTTTTTACTAAAATCATTCTAGTAGACGTTTAGCGGTTTTAATGTGCATTTCTCTAATAACTAATGATGTTGAACATTTTCATATGCTTATTAGCCATTTACATATCTTCTTTGGCGAAATGGCATTTCAAGTTTTGCCCATTTTTAAAAATTGGGTTGCTTTTCTTATTATTGACTTGTAAGACAATGCTTTTTTGTTCCAAATAAACATACGTTGTTATACAAAATTCAAGTGGATTAAATAAAGTTGAAAGGAGAAGTTTCTTCTCAAAATTCTCCTCTCAAAGCAGTTTGGTGTACATCCTTCTGCACTTTTTTCAATTAAAAAAATACTAGGGATTCTGCAAAGCTCAGCTTTGGCCTCACACTTTGGCTAAAAGACCTGAAAGACACTGGGACATCGTTCAGGCACCTCTGACCCACGCAGGATCAATGATCCTGGGACAGCGTGGATTAACAATAAAAACTGTGTATTAATGGCAATAATTCAAACAAGGCTGACATTTCCATTTACTGTTACTACCTAAATTAGAATTCCTGACATAACTTGTGAAATATTTCTTTATGTGCTTGATATGTTGAAATTCTATCAGTTAATTGAAGCATAAATGTTTATTTATTATTACAAGAGCAAAATACTACAAAATAAATAAGATGAGGATGGAGGCTGCTAATTTTTTATACTAAAAATCATTAAAATTTTTAAAAGGTTAAATAGGAAAATATATCCACAGTTAAGGTGAATATTAAGAGAATTAACTCTACAAAGAACATTATAACTTTGGTGAGTCAATAAACGTTCAGAAATATTTAAATACTACAAAGCAGAAGAAAAGAGATAATATTTAAATACTACAAGGCAGAAGAAAAGAGATTTAAGTTTTGTCATAAGCTTTGTAGGATTTTTCAGCAAACTAGCACTCATGTTAAACAACGTAACCTTTAAAAGCTATATTTTCAGTCTTTAAATTCCATATAGACTATGAATTTTTCTCAAAAAATTGTCCTTTGCATTCTTCCTACATTGGGAGGAATGAAGTGAAATGTCAACCCTACAACATCAGAATGCCATGGGAATGAAAAATTACAAAATCATATACAAATACTTCCATGACAATTCCACCTTTGGTCCAGAAAAGATAAAGAATAGGAAGAGAAAAAGTATTAGAGAAAAATGAAGTACTCCAAAATCCTTCTCTTCTAATGCTCTCAATTGAAAATGAAAGCGTAAACGCATCACAGTGATGATGCAAGGTGACCAGGGAGTAGCCCAGCGGTGGAGAGTGTAACAGCATCACAGGGGTGACCAGGGAGCAGCCCAGCGGTGACAGTGTAACAGCATCACAGGGGTGACCAGGGAGCAGCCCAGCGGTGACA